TAAAATGAATTAAAAAGTAACAAATTAGATTTGCAAGTTAATGAAAAGGATGAACAAGAATTTGATAAAACTTTGTTAGTTAGGAGGAGGTGATAAAATTTGGAAAATTATAGATATCAAAAAATAAATGTGAAGTGAAAGGTAGGAATAATTGTAAAAAAATATCTTTCATATATATTCAATTATCATTTTGTCTACTATTTATGGCACTGAGAAGATTAAAAACATTCGGCATACTCCAAAAAAATCTCATTTTTTATATCCAAGTTGTGCATGATCTTCACATTCTACACAATTCCACTCACTTTGGTCATTCATCTCCAAGGTTATAAGTCCATGTTGCAGACTTTGGGTACAAAAAAATATAAATTTTTTTAATAAACAAATTATATTTTACTAACGAGATAATGCATACAATTATATAAACTTATAAAATCTATTTTTAATTTTTTATTTATAAGTATCTTCTAAAATTGTAAAAAATATGATAATGTATTTGTATTATTTATATATATTAAATTTTTATATTATAATTAAATTACAAGTTATGATACTAAATTTGAAAAAATTTAATATTAAATTAAACAATATATATAACATATATATGTATGAGAATTAATAAAAAAATTAAAAAAGTAAATTTGAATTTATATTTTTCATACTTTAATTATGTGATTTCCATACTCATATGCTTACTTATCTATATTATCTAGATTACTTATATGTTTTATATATTTTTTCTTAAATAAAATATAAAATAAATTAATGAAAATATTAGACAATTTATAAAAATTATTACTACTAATTTTAAAATTTAAAAAGTGAATAAGAGGATTTAAATTAATTTAAATGCTAAAATTATACATTTTCATGAACATATTCGGGAGATCATAACAAAAGGGAGCTCAGGGGGCAAGAGAAGCCTAGTGCAAAAAAAAATGATTGAGACAATTTTTAACCATAACTTTATTTTTGCGAGTTACAATACATTTATCTATTTTTTTTTTGCACTGCTACGCTAACTCATCTTCAACAATATTCTCTATATTTTTGCAGAGTCAAAGAATATTCTTTCTATATTTTACTTTATACTCTCCCGTCTCAAAATAATAGTTCTATTTTTCTATTTTCGTCTTTTCCAAAACAATAATCTCATTTTCAAAACTAATATCACCTTAAAACTAAATTATTATTATTTTTCTTTATCATTATCAGACAAATATTATTATTTTTTACACAAATATATTCACAATGATATTTTAATCTTTTACTATCACTTCATACCAACTTTCAATATAATATTATTATTTCTTAAATCTTGTACTGAACCTTGTCCCGAGATGGAAGAAATATTTTTTTTTAAATATACAAATAACACTCAATATCTTATTATTTTTACATATTTAATTTATATTAATATTTTAAATATTATATTGATATGTTAAATTTATTATTCTTCTTTATTAATTAATCATAAAAATTATAAATATTTTTTAAAATTCACCAAATTTGAATTTTAATATTATTAAATACTATAATATTTATATGAAATATAAATAAAAAATATACAATTTAATATAGTTATACATAACCGATCAATTATATGTATTAATAAAAAATTAAATAAATTTCTATAAATATCAATCATAAAAGTAAAATATATAAAATATATTAATACAAATATAATCAATATACATATAATTTTGTATAAAATAACGGTATAATATAAAATATAAAAAATATTACTTTATCATTACTATAAAATAAATTAAAATAATATAGGATATATGTATATATATATGTTTTTATAATTACATTTTATATTATATAATATATTATTAATAGTGAACCCCAATTATTTGAATGGGATCAAAAGAAGAAAATGAAAGAGTGAGTAGGGATGTCAAATGGGACGGATTAGCCCGGATTCGCCCCGGATTCATTTTTAATGGGGCCGGTTCGGGTCTAAATAATATGTTTTAAGGCGGATTGTGGATTTAAAATTTTAAACCCGGTCGGGTTCGGGGCAGGTTACGGGTTTTACTAAAAATTCGTTCCAATCCGGACTCGAACCCGGATATTTTTTAAAATTATTATAACTAATATATATGTACATTTATATAATAAAAATATACTATTTATTTACTTAAATAATTTTAAATATAAAATTCAATTAGTCGTCTGCTCCAAATAATTTTTAAAAATTATTATACCTAATATTTGTATATTTATATAATAAAAATATATTATTTATTTATTTATTTATTTATCTTATTTTATGGATCCATATTTGATTGTTTTTAGATTTTTTTTTTTTTTTGTACTTTTAATTCTATTTATTTTAGTATTTGATTGTTAAAAAAATATTTATTATTATATATTTTTAGAAAAAATGGGTTTGCCGGGTTGGCCCTGAACCCTCAGGGCAGGTCCTGGGACCGGGTGGAAGCGGGGCGGGGCGGGTCTCAAAGCCTGATATTTTCTAGCGGGGCGGGTCTCGGGGCCTGCAGAACCCGTTCTGAACCCGCCCCGTTCACATCTCTAAGAGTGAGGAGTGAGGATTGAGGAGAGAGGAGTTTCTTTGTCTGGATGCTGCCTCGCCTGCGCTAGGCGCGTCAAGAAAATGGCCTCCGAACGACGGCAGATGCATATATGAATTTTCGATCGCTTTTAAAAATATCCCTGAAAGGAAAGAAGATGTCTCCGAAGTAAAGCCATTACTTTTATCTTTTACGTCGATTTATTTTTTCAAAAAAAAAAAGATTCATAACTTCTCTTGGTTCTTTTTAGAGAAATCCAAGAATTTTTTTTTTAATATATATATACATTTTTATAATATTTCTATTAATTTTTTATTTTTATTTTTGTATTATATAAAATTTTATTTTCTATACAATATATATACATGTTGAAATATTTTTATTTAAAATAAAAAAAATTGATATAAATATTAATATAATATCCATTATGAATGTATACAAAATTATCTTGGAAAATCTAAAGTAATCTTTAACCAATTACTTCAATTTATTTGAACCATAAATTTTAATTTTTATTCTAAATAAATACTATCTCAGTCTGGCATTAAGGGACTCATTTACTTTTTTTATGTGTTGATCATTGAATATTAATTATTATATAAAAACGTAAGTACAAATTAAGGAAAAATGACAAAAATACTTATTAGTGTCTTATAATACTATTATAATGATATTTGTGTAAAAAATTATACAAATATAAGAATATTTTTAATATTAAATACAATAACACAAAAGGTAAATGAGACCTTGGAGCCGGACCGAGGGAATACTATATTTCATATATATTCATTCATCTGTTATATTATTTTATATAATTTTTTATATTTACAAATTACACTAATTTTAATTTATTTTTACATTATCACCTAAAAATATAATCTTTCCGTAAAAAATTAAACTTCTTATTTTCTTTTTAGTAAAAATAATTTTCAATTAAATATCAAAATACTCATACTTTTTACTCTATATATTACTTTAACTTTAATATGAAGGGTAAAATATATATTTTTATAATATTTTATTATACTATATATCTATAAAATATTAATTCACTTTAATCTATATGCAACAGTAAAATAAAAAATTTACTACTCACTTGCTGTGTCTAATCTTTTTTTGTTACACTTATTTTGTCAGTATCTCTCATTTTTTTTTTTTTAAAAAAAATTATACATTTTGATCTTATTTCGAATTTATTAATTTTTTTAATTTTTATTAAATTAATTAGTTATTTTAATTTATAATTATTTTTATTATATTATAATTATTTTTATTAATATATTTTTAATTATTTACTAATTATATCACTTTTAAATTTTTATTGTCTATTAAAAAATAGACACCATAAATGAAAGGGGAAGTATTTTATTTTAAAAATTAACATTTATAATTAAAAAGTAAATTATACTCCCTTCGTCTCATATATATATATATTTTTTTGCAGAGAATTTTACAAATATTAGTATTATATTGGGATAAAGTAAAAATAAAGATAAAAAATTAAATTAATTCTATTAGTATTGTATGATATAAAGATAATGATATTTGTGTAATATATTGTAAATTAGAAAGATATTTGTAATGTTAGATAGATAATACAGTTACTAAAAAAAATGAATACTTTGTTATAAACGGACAATATATTATACAATACACTTTAAAAAAATACTACCTCCGTCCCATGTACAAATATATTAGTGAAAATAATTATTCTGTAATATAAATAATTATAAATTAAAATTAAGATAACTAATTAGTTTAATTAAAATTAAAAAAAATAAATTAAAAAGTTTAAAACTGAGATTAAAGTGCGTAATTAAAAGGTTACATAGCACTGAAACGACAACGCCGACATAGTACCGGGGACGGAGGAGGAACAAATTTCTACCGATCATCTCAGTCACCGTATAAATGCATCAACGGTGTAGCAACTCAAAAAATGAAATCAAAGTCCCCATGAGGGATTGGTCGATGGGGTAGAGAATGAATTGTAAGATTATGATTCAAACTTGGACGCCTTCAACTCCACAAGCCAGGTATGGTTGGCGGTGTGATTTGCCGCAGGGTACTAGTCCGACCGTAGGTTTTAAAAAGAATAGAATGAAAAATAGAATTGGATTTGGAACGCCGACCCTCAATTTTAATGCAACTCACTCCATATGTGCAATGGATTGGAAACACTTAGCATTGACCACTGTTTCAGTGGATACACGCCGAGGGAATGAGGACTGGACGGCAGAAAACAAGATCAAGGAGGACGAAAACAAAAACAAAAATGATGAAGAGGAAGACGAGGTCGAGAAGTAGAGAAGAGAGGAGAAAAACGAAATTAGCAAAAGACGAGGCTTGTGGTAAATCATAAATAATTGTCTTTTATTCGAGAGTGTAGACTCTTGTTTCATAAAAAAGAAAAAAAAAGTCTTACAATGGCAAAATGGTCATTTGCTTGAGCTGTTTTGTGAAAGGAGAGAGGCAGCAGCCTGTGGGAATGGTAAGCTATCTGTTACTAGTTAACTAGGAGGGAGGAGGAGGAAGAGGAGGAGGTTTGAGGAGGATGAGGCACCAAAATCATTGAGAAGCATCTAATTGCCCAGAACCCACCCACCCGTCGCATGAACACTAACTACTAAATCATGCATCGCTTTGCCCTTTCTTCGCCATCGTCATCGATCTTGCGCCTTAACTCATTCCCCTTTCTTTCACTCAAGTCGAGCTTCCCCACGGTCTTTAGCTATGGGCATAATATCCAACACTTTGCGCCCTTGTCGCGCCGAGATTACAAATTCCGTAAGAAGAAGATGAGAGGCGCCCTGGTCCTGGTGAAATCGAGTGCAAGGGAGTCGCCATACCAAGTTTTGGGTGTGTCGCCCTCGGCTTCCACCCAGGAAATTAAGAGGGCTTATCGAAGACTCGCTCTTAAGTATCATCCTGATGTGAACAAAGAGGTGTGTGTATTCATTCATTCCTTTATGCTATTTCCCATGCTCTGATGTTAAATTTTGATTTTCTTTCACAACTTTTCCTTCTGACTGCTCCTGCATTGATCCTGGTTTGAGGAGCCTAAATTATATTGTGTTCAAGGTGGATTGGATGCACGGGGAATGTATAGACAGCTTGTTAACCTTTACAAATACGACTTGAACGGGATGTGAGATTGATTATATATCAAAATTTTCCCTTCCGTCAATCTTGAGAATCTTTGAACTTTGATTGTTTATGGAATTGATAAATAGATTGAGGCTTTTGTAAAATATATCTAACGTTAATTGCACATGCTAAAATTAAGGATTTAAAATGATATGCATGGAATGTAAGGAAGAGAAATCTCACTTGGCATCACACATTTGAGTTATTGACTTTTTAAATTTTCGATTTTGTTTTTCAAAGGGAGTTGTTATTGTTGCTTAAGTGTTTGATCGATTTGGGGACCAACAGACTTATTTGCGGTCTGTACGGAACAGAAGTTGAGTTAATTGGTTTCTATGCTAAAGGATGATGAATGTATAGCAAGCTAAGAAGATAATTGACACCGTTAACATATTCGGAGCTGTTCAGCTAGCTAACATTTCCGGATATTTTGTTTTTGAACTTGCTTATTTGTGAGTGACTGTTTTGATAGCTGTTCTTTTGATCTGCTGTTATTATCTTGCCTATTGGAATCTAATTTAATAATGCCATACATATATACATACTTGAAGATGAAAATTGGTCAAAATATCGTGGTATGACATGTTTGCCAATGAGAAGCATTGGTGTGATTGTTTTAGCAATGTGCATTTCTTTTATTCTGCATTTAGCTTCCCTTCTCTATTCATACAAACATGTATTTTATATATACATGTGCGTGTTTAGATGACATAAAAATTGCATATAATAAGCCACACTAGTTTTGCATGCTTTATGTATGCTTAAAGGGAAAAGCTTACTGTAGAACACTTTCTTTTCCTTTATTTTTTGTATATATTATTATTGGTTACTTTGTGTGCAGACTGGTGCCCAGGAAAAATTTATGAGGATTAAGCAAGCATATAATGCACTACTGAACTCAAAATCCAGAGATAGATATGATTCTCGAAATCAGGGATCTGATTTTTCTTATTCTGCAAGTGAAGGATACCAGAAGAGTAGAGAATCTGAAGAAGAGTTCTACGGATTGGGTAAAATAATTTCTTTACTATTCTATCATTCAGAGTTACACTATGATGTTTAAATGGCTTGCTTCGAGGAGGGTACTTGTAGGTACTCGATTTAAGATTTATCATTCAGCGTCGTCATTTGAGAATCGTTGTGCTGTCTTAGTGTATGAAGCTTGTGGGATTTTACATGCTGCAGAAAAGACAGCCTTTGGTGGGATTCTTAAGGTGGATATATTCAAAAGAAAAGATTAATTTTGGTAAAAAGATTTGATAGTTATTTGAAAGGATAGAGAAAGTATATGAGTTGCGAGAAAGGTTGTGATGTTATTGAATGTCCTTAATTTTCAAAGTAGTGAGGATGACTGAATCGGTTGGGTTGCAGATTGCTCGTATGTTTAGTTTTTAAGAAGAAACATGACAGTGAGGATTGTTCCTGTGGTTCTGCTTGTTTTCATTTTCATTTCCTTACTTGATGCTTATCATTGCTGATCAGTAGTTTTAACTGATATTACAACTAAGGGTAGTTTTACTGCTTGTCCTTATGCCTAGTCACCATCCAGATGTATATGCTTATCATTCTTTAAGGAAGTTTAGCTAGAGAGATGATTGTTTCAATTGATCTGAGGCTCAAAGGTAACTTTTGCAATTAAACTTTGAAAGAGAATCGTTTGTTATGCACTCAACCTCCATTGTCAATGACATGGAAGATAAGGAATGTGTAAAATATTTATAGAAAGAATCTGGTTTATATTCACGGCACCAATAAACAATACAGATTGAAAGAGGCTTATCTCAGCAACACTTTCAGATGTCTAGGCTATGACCACATTCATTAATATGTATTAACCTCCCACCAGGCCGAAGACTGTACCATTTGTATATTCTTATAGTAACTACTCAATGATGCAGGCAGCTTTTTGAGGGATGTCCAAATAACAGTAGGTAGACATATCATCCTTGCAGGGTCACAATGGCCAAAATTTCTTCATCTCGATGCTCACTCATTTCTATTGCATTGCATTTACATCTGTAGCTCAGAAAACCCTGTTACCAAAAATCTTCGAGCTAATTATTGATCATTGCAGAGGACTTCTTCAGAGATCTTCAGGAAGAATTTCGGAACTGGGAGGCAACTGCTTCCACTCAAGGAAAGCCCAAAAGCTTGTGGGAAGAATTGGCAGTGAGATTCTAGCATTTGCAATCTTTAGTTGGGATCATTTACATTTGATGTTTATGTGCCCCTTTTGTTTATGATTAATAATGTGCACTGGTTACAAGATAATAGCTTATGATTTCTTGGTATACTTGTAACTTATGTAGGAGATTGGAGAAGAGTTTGTTGAGTTCTTAGAGAAGGAATTGAACATAACGGATCAAGAGCCCGGTGAAAACAACGAGGGAAGTTCTTTCAAGGGTAATGCAAGTACCGATAAGGCTGATAATACAAGCAGCATTTCTGACAACATAAATGAGATCGAGCAAGCACTTGCCCAATTGAAGAAGGAATTGGGTCTCTAGCTAAATACAAGCTTTAGAAGAAATGTATGAAATTGCTTCTGGACGACGACTATGGAAGCTTGAGCATAAACAATTGCCTCGAGCATGGGATTTTGGTATTCTCTCTCATTCAATCTCAATCTTCGATACAACTGTCATGGTGTGGGCAGGTGGTGAAATTACTCTATTATCTTCAGATTTCGGTAAGTTAAACAGAGTCATGAGATCAACCATTATATATTCCATTGTTTTAGTCGATTGAACATTATCAAGCGTAAATGAACGATTCCCTGCTATGATGGTAACGTATGTACTGCCATTAAGGAAACAGCATGATGATTTTGTTCATAATTTTCCAGATGTGTGAAACAGTGTACATTTTTATGTAGTCTAGAAGTTTTGATTAGTATACATCTTTTTGTCGGGGTTGCTCTGTTTCTTGTTTGTTGTTTGACTTCCCTACGATTGTGAGTATCTGTCGCCTCATTGATTAAGGTATAAAATCCACCTTGAGTAGGAAGAATGTGTAATATAAATGCAGCTGCTATTTTAAGGTATGTGCTAATTACAGTTACATATAGTCCATTGAAGTCTAAGCCTAGAAGAGTGGTCTTCCATGGATTACGCTGCAGACATCCATTATTGAGGGTGTTGGATACATACATACATATATATATATATAAAATGTTTGTATATATATAGAGGACAGAGAGAAGGCTATGGCCCTTTCGGAATGATCGATCGCGAGTAGATTTGGTGCAGGAATAATGGCGCAACTTGAGAGGCCGAGAAGACCTCTGTTCTCGGACAACCTCAGCTCCGAAACACCAACGCCTTCTCAAAAAACTTCTCCAACTTTTGAGCAGCTCCTCAAAGGTACGCATGCGTCTATTTAAGGATTCATCTTAGGAAGTCCTGTCTCTAGTATTGATGGATTTTCTTGTCTAGACGATGAAAAGTGGTTGTCGCCGATGTCCACATCTCCTACATTTGAATTCAGCAATGATCCTCACCAGCAAAATCAGTATTCAACCAGCCCCGCTGGCCGGAAATCAGTCATGGCAAGGGTCAAAGAGAGAGCTAAGAAGTTGAGGTACTCCCTCAGTGGCAGAAAGAATCGACTCGAAGATGAATTTCACAATAATGCGATCCACTCCATGCAGCGTCATCCGTGGCCAGCGTCAGCTGTGTTCGATCACCACAATATTGCTGATCATGATCGTGATCGGGACAATGATGGTCGCAGCGACGAAGAACGCGAAATGGATCCCGAGTATCTCGGCGCACCAAGTGAGCTAGTTTACGAAACCTTTTAGACAAAACATTACAGTGCATATCCATCCTGTTATTAATATTTAACACCAAACTCTTGTTTTTCTGTGATTCGATTCATTCAGTGTACGAATCAGAATCAGCTCCAGAGAGTTTGAAAGAGACCGCGAGGCAACATCCGCGAGCAGTGCCGGTTATTTCCAAGAACCATAGGACGCCAACCTGCACGAAATGTAAAGAAACCGAGCAACATGGAAATAGCGAATCCCCCCTCAGTCGAAACACAAGTAAAGCTCAGCGAGCTATAAGCACAAGCGATGCCGGTAAGAATTCAGGAAGTCTGACATGGGACAAGGGGGTTTCTGTAAAGGAATATTTCATGAATAAGCTGGAGCCGGGCGAGGATGAACGAGCTCTTTCTCAGGCAATAACAGAGGCCATCAGTCCCCGGAAAAGCACTGATCAGGCCGCCGGAGTGGTGGATAAGGTGAAGGAGGCTGTTACATCATTGTTCCGGCATCAAGAGTCGAGTTTTCCAACTGCTGATTCTCCCAATGCTCGAATTTCAGAAACTTGCCACCCCGGCTCGTCGCCTCAGATCCCGGTTTCCTACAATGCCTCCGGAGGTATCTTCGACCACTCTTGTTTAACTTCTTGGTAAACATATATGTGTGCCAAGCCAACTGATGAATTACTGTTATTATTATTATTCATAGGTGTTGAAGATCAAAATCAAGGGAGGATACTCCAACCCAACTGATGAAGAATTTTTATTCTCGGCAACAAATTAGATGATATGAAGAATCAATCAGTTGGGAATCCATACAGATAGAAGTTTGTACATGATTTTTCTTACTTTCTAGATTTTGATTTCTTTTTCTTTTGTTCTTTTTTCTTTTTTTCTTTGTCCTACACTACCAAAAAAAAAAAAAAATGATTATTTTTAGTAGAACTGAATCCATTGCAAATGCTTGTTTTTCGTAACAAAAAAGTATTTGTGACGATTTTGTTGAGGATTTTGGTCGGTATGTTTACTCGAGTAAAAAAAAATATGTGTTGCCACAAATGTTGTAACAAAAGATGAGTGGTAATCCCTGTGGGATGACTCTTTGTTACAATTTTTTGTAAGAGACAAAAAGTCGAATTCTTTTTGTAATGATTCATTGTCATAACAAATACCACGGTGCAAACGTTTTCTAACAATTACAATATCTTTTCGTATCAGTTTTTGTTACGGTTACTTGTTTATGACAAAAATTAAAAGTCTATTTTGTAACGAAGCGCAGTCATAACAAATAATATGCTGCGAATGTTTCCTGACATTCAAAAAAAAATTTGTAACAATTTTTGTAACAACTTTTAATGACAAAAAACTGATCACATGTTTGTTAAAATAACATTTTGTTACGACCTGAAGAGACAATTGTAACGATTTTTATAACATTTATTTCGTGACAATAAACATACAACCTTTTCTTTTCCATATTCCCTACGAAATCCTTCATAGAACCTATAATCTAAGGGATCCATAGAAAATTATATTAACAATCGTGCCAAGTACGCACGGCATGACTACATATAGGGCAAATAAGCAAAGATTACAAACTTATGCGTAAACTAATACCCAAGAGACGTCATAATTATACGCAAGCCTTATTCAATCCAGTATAATAAAAATAAGTAAGACATCAGTCCAAAGTCAACACATAAACATGGTTTGCGGATGCTCATGTAATGTCAAAAGTACGGTGGAGGAACTTAGGTGTGGCGAACCAACTGCAATGAATAAGTAAATTATATAAATATTTAATTGTGAAATTAATAATTACTAGAAAAAATAAACACTCAAAGATAAATTACATACATCTTTGTATGTCCACTCCATGAGATCGACATTGATTACCTCACCGAGGGTACGTGCTCCAGCATTTGTTGGCAAAATAAGTGCAGTCTCCGAAACCGTGGCAGCCGTTACAAAGACCTTCACTATTACTAGCATATCACCTACATACATATAAAAAAAAAAAAAAAAAGTGTTATTATGAAAGTAATCTATCATTTCAACGAATATGCTACAAATAAAATATAATAATAAGAGAAACCATCGATAGTATTTCATACATAACAAAGATGGTCAAATATGTTTCACAAATGCCTACAAAGGAGAAGAATTTTCCTTAGACTTAGCAAGTACTATAGGTCAATAATATGAAAGGATATATACAAACTACACGCTATACCAAAAAAATCTCATCAAACTTATTTTCATATCATCTACTAAATATGCAATATAATTAACAATGTAAAAAAAACCGGAATAAAACATTGCATTGTCCAATGGCATTAATCAACCTTAAACTTTTCTAAAAATAAAATATCTAGTAATAATCAAAGACTCACGTAAGTCTTAGCTCTTTAGAATAATAATATTGAAATCATGACACATTTAAAGAATATGTACTATTTAAATGAATATGTATTCACGATAATAGAGCTCAACCACTATAATTTTTTAAATTGTCATGAACTTCAATCAACAATCCCTTTAAATACAATAAATGAGGAATGCATTACTTATAGAAGTTATAAGTGAAGAGGTTGATTTGATCATCGATCGGATCGACGAAAAGACATTTCTGATCTTCGTGTAATTAAATACTACATCATCAATCTCCATGTAAATAAATTGAAACTCGTGTTCTATGAAAGGATACACCATTGAAATTGTTTCTAAGCATACTAAGTATGCCAAATGAGAAAGAAACAAAATCTAATCCTACCATGATTTTGCTGGGTACAAAAATATGAATTAGAGGAAAAGCCCAAAGAGAAAAGTGGCTTTGTTTGATGAAAGCTCAAGTAGGGAGTCGAGGTCAAAATAAAAGAAGAGATCCATGGTGAGGAGGTGGAACCTAAGCTGATTCAATAAAAGATTCATCTTATTGTGGAAAATTTGTAGCTTTGCAGAAACCATGATGGAATAAGGTAACGTTGGCGGTTACTGTGGTTACTAAGAAGTGTAGGAGAACACATTCAAGAGTCTTGAAGTTACTGGCCATTACGTGGACATGTATGAGGATTAAAAGCCTATAATTAAAGATCTAGAAGTGTTCAATTGCATATTCTGACACTGTTTTCTTTGGCGTGACACATTTGAGCAAGAATACGGAAAAATAAGTTGAATTCTTCTATATATTTTCAATTCAATAAAGTACATATTATATATACTTGCAACAATAGAAATAACAAGTACATTAAAATTTAGAATTAATCTACAACCTAAATCATAAAATACCTCATAATATCACCACCCCTTGATCATTACAGTAACTGGAATATTTTGTAATAGGATATGTTTTCCTCCACCACTATCTGCAATGGATTAAGCTCCCAACTACTTTATCCTAATACTCCTGGACTTTCATCACCTTCTTTCATCCACGTGTCCTTATGCACGTTTTCTTGTGAATCTTGACTCCAAACACAATTACACATCTTCAATTTTTTCAATCCCTCCAATTCCTTATGAATACTTTTCATACCCCCTTCAAATTGTACATAATGTGAATCAATATGAAGTTTGACTCTCAAATGATGAAAGTACAGCCTAAACAATGGCTTAGTAAAAAGATCAACTATGTGATCTTAAGATGCCACATGAATTGGTTGAATGAACTATTTATGGTAATGATACCTTATAGAGTGGCAATTAACATCTATATGTTTGGTACGTTCATGACAAACTGGACTGTTTACCAATTATATGCCTGCCAAATTATCACAAAATATAAGAATAGACCCATATATGTTAATATGAAAGTGCTAAAGCAAATGGGAAATTCATAATAACTTGGTAAGGGTATGAGCAAGGGTTTTGTACTCTGCCTCAATTATTTAGCCACATTCTTCTGTTTCTTGGACTTCCATAAAATCAGACACTCTCCAAAACATATACATTAACCAAAGACAGACTTTTTTATACTAAGATAGCTCCTCCAATCTGCATCTGAGAAGGTTGTCAGCTTCTAACGAGAACTATGAAGATAAAATAACTTAAAGGATCTTGTAAAATTCAAATCTTTGAACAATCTTTAAGCTAATTTCAAATGAACATTTCTTGGTTGAAACATGAACTGAGTGAACTTCTATACTGCAAACATTAGAAATTGTGAGATAAAACACTATGTCCATCAACCTTCTGTAATGATCTGGATATGATAAGAATGTTCCATCTTCAATTGTACCTCTAATTTCAGGAGGTAAGAGAGTAGCACAACCTTTAGACTCAACCATATTTTCTTCTTGAAGTATGTCATACAAGTAATCTTGTTGAGAAATAAGAAGTCCTTCTACAATATTGATGCTTGAAAATTAGCTTTTAGTTTAGGAATGTGTAGTCTGTGCACTAAAAACGTGTCTTGGGCTATTGTCTTGTTGTAGCCCAAAATATTTTCATCAAAGAGTAGATTTTCTTATTTAATTAGTGAGTGCCTGGTTGAACTCAAAACATTCATATGAGGAAAATTTTGAATAGAAATAAATGTGAATTTATGAATCCAAGGTTGATTTGAATGCGATTCAAAGTAATTTTATATTATTAAGTTGAAATACAAGTGCAGAATTAAAGGTGATAGTGCATTTGAAATGCATTGTGGAATTGTGGAAATAGGTATTAGGATGGATATGGTGTGGATTGATGTAGATTTAGAGATGGATGAGCGGATGTGATTTAATTACTAAAGGTGTGATACGTAAATATCCATAGTGCAACGTATTGAAAAAATTATTGCCACGGTTTGTAATATCATGGTTGATTAGTTCCGCTATATTGATTTGTTGGTTGCATAATCTTGGTGATGGGAAAGACATGATGCACCTTTACCTCCGTTAAATGCGACGTGCAATAAATTCTTGTCATGGCCCACTTCAGTAGCGGTTTGAATTTTTCCTTGATGCTCTTCAAAATTGGTTTCTTGTTGTAATTATCGATTTATTCGTGAAAACAAAAAATAAATTCATCAATCGTTCATTGATGGCGTTCTTCAAACATTCACAAGACTTTAAAGTTTTCACATAAGGTAACTCTTCCTTCAGTGAGAAGTTCTTTGCAACTGCACTTGCGCTGGAATCCACTCTCACAACTTTGACAAAAACATTATCGATCCACTTTTTATCCTGATAATTAGTATAAAATTTCTTGAACCCCTCCCTGACAGACTCCATTGGGTTGGCAAAATGTTGCCGCAACCCTTTATCATATGCCCACTTGATGAGCTCCTCGCCAAAGTACTGTGAGTCAAATCCTCTTTCCACTATGTGGTACCTGATATGTAATTCATGTTGGTAGTAAACTTTCATATTTACAAATCTTATTGGTCAAATGCATTGACCTTTGTAACTCTCCTTGCAGCTTTCTCTGGTTCACGCTTCTTCAATCCCCCTTTTTAAGTTACCAGGACTACTTCACATGAACATTAGAGTTTTCCTCATTGAATTCAATATCGTGTTTGCCCTCCAAATGATATTCTATTTGTACTCTCACAAACGTTTCTTCCATATACTTGATTAAATTAACAATAGGTAGCTCTCAATTTGCAATCGGGATAAGAGTTCTTTTAATATAGACCAAAGGATAAAAGTCATTTGGGTATTTGCCCTTCTTAACTTTATATGGTGCGCTTGTTAATCTTTTCAATCCAACCATATTTTGTATTTCAAATAGGAAGTTCCTCCTATTATATTATGTTAGCGGTAATGATGCGATCAAAACTTCGACAGTTGGTTAGGTAAAATTGTTCATCCCTTTAAATTTCTATAATTCGAAACCTTCTTCTCAAAGATCTTCTCCAAATATATGAACTACTTGGTGTACTTCTCCTTTTTTTTTCTTTTTTTTTTTTTTTTTTTGTACTCTTTCAAAATTGCAATTGCTCGCCGAATGTCATGCACATTGGATCACACGTCTACAAATGCCACGGCTGGAATATGACGGGAGTATTCGGATCTTTTTTGAATTCTTTTCTCAATGATTGCAAACTCTAGATTACGTACACCTACAAAATAATCGCATAAAAATGATTCAATGTTATGGATTGAGTCTAAGGACGTGACTTTGAAATCACGAGCTTGCGAAAGAGAGGTGAGATCAAATTTCTTAGTTCTGAATTTTCTATGACACCGTCGCTCGCATCTTCGTAGTGAAAAGAATATATTAGAGACGGTTTCCTCAAATTGAGGATACGATGCATGTTATATTAAAAAGTTATCTTTTTTATAAACAATTAAACAACTATTTTTATTTATTTTTTTATATTATATTAAAATTTTATTTTACATTTTAATAAAATTTCAAACAATTTCAACATAGTCATATATAATTGTATTGAAATGTAAAATTAATTTTTAATATTATAATATAAAAAAAAAATAGTTGTGTAATTGAATATTATTAAGAGAAAAATTTTGATATATAGTATAATTTTAGGCAAAATCTTCCGAAAGAACATACTTAATAAATTTTTATATTTGAACTAAAATTGATACATTTTAATTATATTATGATAGACTTACTATTGATATTTCCATATTAACTGTATCAACTATTTTAAATTAAAAAATATATATATTTTTTTAAAAAAATACAACAAAAATAATAAATGTTAGACCAGAACATAAAGGTACACGACCACGTAGAATAAAACACGACCGTGTATATTTGTACACTAAATTATATATGGTCGTATATAATTGTACATGATCGTGTAATTTTCACGTCTCCTACCACGTCAACTTCGTAATATCCACGTCAGCCAGTTTCGTTAATTTTAGAACAATGAAACAAAAAATTATTGAAGTAATTTTGAATGAGATCAAAAGTAATTGAAATTGTTTACAATAAAATTAAAATTGATGAGTTTTTAATTATATTAAAATCAAAACTAATTTTTTTTACTCCCTCCGTCCCATAATAAAATATTCATTTTTTCATTTTATTTTGTCCCATAATAAAGTATCTATTTTCTTTTTTAGTAACTGTACTATCTACCTAACAAACAAATGCCCTTACAACTTAAATATATTACACAAATATCATTACCTTTATATCACACATACTAATAAGATTATTTTAGTTATTTTTATTTTATTTTACTATATCTTAATATAATACTAATATTTTTAAAACTACGTAAAAAAATAAATAAATATTTAATCCGGGGACGGAGGGAATATTATTTTAATCTAAAATTTACAATTTAAAATCAAAATTGTACAATTAAACAGTCCAATATTGTTGGGAGTATCAATCAATCATCATCATTCATCACGCATTGGGTCCGAGGGAAGGGGCGCAGTGGGCGTGGAGAAGTAGAATTGAAACGTGTCGCGCGCGACAACCTGCGACTACGGATGAAGGGCACGTGTCAGCATCGGAACAAGCCAGACACTAACACCGGACGGGGCCCACGCAGGATTAGGGACGTGCCCCAAGCGGGCAGGTAGGCTGGGCGTGGGGCATCTCCATTGGCCCACGTACAGCCTCTCTTTAAGACCCGACTGTACACGCGTTGCCCCATAATCAATGGTTGGAAGCAGCGGACGAAATCGATGGCCCAGATTCACTCTTCCCGTGGCAGGCAACCTGCCCGGCGTGACACCTACTGCTGCTGCTTCTGTTTACAATCTTTTGCTTCTTCAAAAAGGTCCTGATGGATGCTTCTTTTCGGTTTTCAAATATTGAGTTTCTTTTATTGGATTGAATTGGATTTGTTTGTGGAGTTGGTGACGGCGGGGGATGGCGGAGATCTGCTGCGGAGTCATGGCTGAGAACGAGGCGTCCGGCGGCGAGAGCCGCCGTAGAACGACGAGGCGGCGGAGGATGGAGCTCAGGCGGGTGAGAATTGATCAGCCTAGAGAGCAGAAACGGCGTCGTTTTGAGATGTCTTCTTCTTCTAGGGATTTAGATTTAGATATAGATTTAGATAGCGCTGTTGAAGCTTGCGGCGGAGGTGAAGCGGCGGCGAAACCCTCAATTTTGTCTTCTTCGAGCCAACCAGGGTGGGAGAGCGAGAGTCTCCCCAAGTTTGGGATCGCCTCCGTCTGCGGCCGCCGCCGCGACATGGAGGATGCCGTGGCGATTCAACCTTCGTTTTTCCGGCGAGAACGCTACGGCGACGGAGGTCTGCTGCACTACTATGGCGTCTACGACGGCCATGGATGCTCTCATGTATGCTTCTCAAAAAATTAAACTATATGCGTGTTTGCGCGCACACTCACTGATCTGACTCTGAATTATTCTTTCAGGTTGCTACAAAGTGCAAGGAGAGGTTACACGATATGGTAAGGGAGGAACTGGCCGGCGCGGAGGAGATCGGAGCCATCGGCGGCGAGCGGTGGAGGTGGGTGATGGAGCAAAGCTTCAATCGTATGGACGGTGAGGTTATTGCTTGGAGCGAGAACTTCGCCGACGACGACAACACAATTAGCGGTAACTGTCGCTGCGAGCTGCGGACGCCGGAGTGCGACGCCGTCGGAACCACCGCGGTGGTGGCCGTCGTCACTCCAGACGAAATCATTGTTGCGAATTGCGGCGACTCCAGGGCGGTTCTCTGCCGCAACGGCGCCGCGGTTCCTCTCTCCACCGACCACAAGGTTGGTGGTGATTGATGAATGTATTATCTCTTTTGAGTTGTTTCAATTAAATTAAATTAAATTAAATTAAAATGAAAATGTGGTGGCTCTGGTTGCAGCCGGACCGGCCAGATGAGCTGAGCCGGATTCAGTCGGCCGGCGGGCGCGTGATCTACTGGGAGGGGGCTCGAGTTCTGGGAGTACTCGCCATGTCCAGAGCCATCGGTACTAAACATAATACTCCCTCCGTTTCTACATCTCATATCCACCTTTTCATTTCTTCCTTGTCTCATTTATTTTGACATTTTTTTTTTATAAAAAAATTATATATTTTATTTTTATTTTAAAAAATTTAATTTATAATTTTTTTTAATTTTAATTATACTAATAACATATTTTAATTTTAATTATTTTTATTAATATATTTTTAATTATTTATCAATTATATATTTTCTAAATATCCGGATAGAGGGAATAATAATAATAATAATATTATTGGTAATTATATCCCACATTTTTTGTGTTTTAGTGCACACAACACTCTGGTATTTTATTTTATTTTATTTTATTTTATTGTTTTAAACTTCTTTATAAATTTGTACGAAACACCCGTTCAAAACTAATGTTACACAAATTTGTTTTGAAATAAAATATTAATCAATTATTTATTTTTTATTTTATTTAAAAAATTTATTTAAGATATGCTTTTTTTTATTGTATAAAAGTGTAATTTAAATTTTTATTTAACATTAAATATAAGGTTACATTAATTTTTCACATAATAAATAAAATATAAATACAATTTCTTTTTATATTTTTACTAAAAAGAGGTGTTTTATAATTTATCTTAATAATAATAATAAATTCAAATTAATTTGGATGATAGTGATCGGAAAAGTGTGGCAGGCGATAATTATCTGAAGCCGTACGTAAGCTGCGTGCCGGAGGTGAGTGTTACGGAGCGTGGCGGCGGCGACGAGTTTTTGATCCTGGCCAGCGACGGGCTGTGGGACGTGGTGTCGAACGCCACCGCATGCGGCGTTGCCCGCATGTGCCTGAAAGGCGGCGGCGGCGCCGCTTCTCCCCACCCGCTGCCGGAAGAGAATTCGGACAAGGCATGTAGGGATGCGTCGCTGATGCTGACGAAGCTTGCGCTGGCTCGCGGCAGCGCCGACAACGTCAGCGTAGTTGTGATCGATCTGACCTGACGCCGGCGCCGGAGAAATTATTTAATTAATTTAATCAGCGTCAGCGTAGTTAAGTGATCGATGACGTATTTCGGCTGCTGGTTTTGAGGATTTAGCATTTTTAAATGATATTTCACAAGTTGGACAGTGAGTTCTTCACCCAACCCAACGTGGATGAATATGGCTAGGGGACTGCATGATTGTGTTTCCACCCAAGGGAATGAATTGCAATATTATTATTGTTATTTATTGGGTCCGTCGATGATTTTTTTTTTTTTGCTTTTATAAATGTATTAATCTTAAATATATTTAACAGGTATAGATTAGTTAAATTTTTAAGTATTTTTGTTAAATATTTTATTTTTTATTAGATAATGTTTTTATTTATATTTAAAATTATTTTTTTTATAAAATTAATTTTAATTTATTATAAATAAATAAATATATATTTATGTTAAGATATAATGTTAAAAATATTTAAATATTTATTTTATTTTTTTAAGGGATATTTGAATAAGTTAAAAAAGATTTAAGTTTAGTCTCTTTTTATTTTGAAAAAGTACTACATTTAACTCTGACTCTGAATCACAATATAATGTAATGATTATTGCATGTATTTTCATTATTTTTATATAAATTTATATTATTTAATTATGCATTCTAAAATTATCTTGCTGTACAAAGAAAGTGTCAGAATAATGTGCCTCGAATTTTTATTTATGTACTAAAATTAGTTACAGTAATTTAAACTTAAAAATAAATTACAACTCTGATAAAATTCATCATCCGACTTTGTGGATGAGCTATTCATCCGAACTCTTTTCGTTCCACGCTGCCCTTGTCGTCAAAGCTCCGTAGTGAACTAATTGTCGCCGAGCCTTCCTACAGAAACCTCCGCCGTCGTTGGAAGTCTTCCCTCACCGCCGAGAGATCAGATCTCAGTTGATATGTCAAAAAAGACCTCATTCTCAAGGAGGAGTTTGAAAAGGTAAGTTAAGTTTACGGTAGAATTGATAGTTTGAGTTCACAGTTTACTTGGATATATTTTATTTGTGCCTCGGTTGGATTTGTACAAGCCTCGATGACGGATAATTTCACTTTGACAGTCTGAAATGACGTTATAACCATTGATGAATTTTTCAGACTGTATACTTTATTTGTCTTTTTGTCAACATTTTGTTTACAACCATAAATTATCGGGTTCAAATATTTTTATTAGAATATTTTGATGACTTGAAGTCGTTGGGTGACTACGCTTGAGAAACTACATGTCATCGGTATCTATTGAAATTTATGCGGGACTTCAAATCTGGGAAGATTTACTTGATTGGATGCAACATGGGTTTGTTAGTACGCATTTAATTTATGTATTTAGGTAAGAAAAAATTGAGATAGTCTATGCTTATTGAAATCATTGGTTTTCTTCATTGCATGCTTGGATTAACGAGCGTACTCCGGCACTCGACAAAGCAAGAGGACACCTACAGTGTCCCGTTGCTTCAGATGGCTTGGTAGCAGGCTTGTATGCATATACGCTGAAAGCTACGCTTTAGAAGATACAGACTGTTACCCATTAGGCGGCTAGGTAACCGAATTTGATGATGTCAAAGCTTATAGGGCAAAAATTGCTGCAAGAAATTTTAGCAGGGCACCTCAGAAAGTCTGTCTAGTTCAATTTGAATGATTGAGGTGTAATTTATTACAATTGGATTGATGAATAACTAAGATTTGTGGCAAATAGGGGTCTTATCCGTTTATGTTATATTTTGACGTAGATTTTACTAATCACCGACTATTTTAAATTAACATATAATATTTTAACCGTTTGCCTATATGTAATTGCATTTTGATCATGTATATGTTTGTATACATATAGGTTGGCAAGATATTATGATTGAGTGTCAACAAGCCCTAGGCCGTGACCATATACTTCCAATGATAATTGTTGAGTAAAAAAAAACCAATATATAGGATTTTTGGAGAATGGGCTTATAAATTGGATTGATGTATAGTTCAATGGGCCTGATAATGGTAGTAGGGTCTTAAATGAAGTCGGGCAAAGAAGGATGAGATGGCCTATAGGCAAAGGAGGATGAGACGGCCGATACGGAGGTCGAACAAAATAAAGTCAGGCGAAGGAGGATGAGACAGCCGATAAGGAGGTCGGACAAGATAAGGTCGGGCGAAGAAAGATGAGACGGTCGATACGGGGGTCAGACAAGAGAAGAGTGGGCTTCTAGGGGCCCATTTGAAAGAAAGGTCTGTTAATTGGTCGCTTAATTAACGACATGTTAATCGCCTGATCGATTAGCCGGTCATTTGGTCAAACAGTAGTTCAGTCGCTTGAAAGGACGGTCAGTTGGTCGCTTGATTGGGCGATCGATTAAATCGTCTGGACGGATGATTGTTCAGCCGATTGAAGGGACTGGATGGTGGTCGCTTGATTGGGCGATCGATGAATCGTCTGGACGAATGGTTGTTCAGCCGATTGAAGGGACTGGATGGTGGTCGCTTGATTGGGCGATCGATGAATCGTCTGGACGAATGGTTGTTCAGCCGTTTGAAGGGACTTGATGGTGGTCGCTTGATTGGGCGATCGATGAATCGTCTGGACAAATGGTTGTTCAGCCGATTGAAGGGACTGAATGGTGGTCGCTTGATTGGGCGATCGATGAATCGTCTGGACGAATGGTTGTTAAGCCGTTTGAAGGGACTGAATGGTGGTCACTCGAGTGGGCGAATGATTAGTCGTTTGGTCTAGCGACCAGTTAGTATTTGGATTGGTCGGTTGGTCAATTGTTGGGTTATTCGGTAGGTTCAGTCGGTGGATGGTCCAGACGATTTCTCAATCGGGTGGTGATTTATGATCCGTCTGAAAAGGCGAAGGTTGTTTTCAAAGTTATAGGGTCGAGCAAATGGTTGCTAAATATAAATGCGACTGTTACGTACAAATTTTATAATTAGGGTAAATGGCACAAAATAGAAGGAGATGTGGGCCCGTCTCTGGGCCCGTCAGGTGGCTAAGGGGTTTTTCGAGGCAGTCGGTCGGCCTGCAGTCTGTCTAATGTATGCTGGGCGATTGAGTAGTTATTCGGGACCAGCTGTCCATTTAAGGAGGTAAGGTACGCAGAGGCAGTCGGTCGAGCCAGTTGGGTTCTGTAACTGGTGGGAGCGGTTGGTGAAATAGTTAAAAAACACGTGTCAATGGAGGAGGAATTAGTGGACGGTTGACGGCGGTTGCTGTAACCGAACAGATGACGGTTCCAAAACGTTTCTTTAAGGAATATTTAAAGATTTGGGTCTGTTTTTGAAAAAAACATCTTCAATCGATATCAAATTCAGTAAATTTCTTTTGGGGATCACCATTTTACTTTTACAGTATGTAGTATTTATTTTCCTATTTTATTTATGTATCGTACGGTGTCTAGGGATTCTAAAATCTCAGGCATTTTCTTTTATCAAATTCGAAGATAATTTCTATTTTCGGGTTTTACTTTTTATTGTTGAAAATCGGCATCAACAATTTGGTTACCACAGTGGGAGAAAGGCAAGATTGCTGATCCTACGTCAAGAGAGAATTTTATACGACTGAGGTCCGGCCGAATCATCAGAAGGATTTATATGGCAGGCTCATAGCCCCAAGTATCTTCAACACCGGTGGGAGAAACAATTTCACCACCTGCTATGCCGAATGCAGGGGAAGCACCACAAGTACCTGCCGATTGGGTGTCTTATGTTCAGCAATTGAACAATCAGCAAACTTTGGTCATGCAGAATATGTTGCGTGAGCAACAAAACCTCATGAAAAACATGCTAGATCAGGCTTTGTCAAGGGTTACTCTTCAACCCACCCAATCACCCTCAGGGATGTCGCCATCCAGGTTACAAGCAAATTTTGCCGGACCTTCATATGTCGACAGCACTCTTCCAAGTGCCGCTACTAGGGTCGATAGAGGGAAAACTCCTCTAACATACCTAAATAATGTTCCACTGGGTGTCAGAGCCGAACCAGCCTTCTCTAGGGAAGAGAGGTTGGGGGGACAGGCTCATAATCCCATCCCAGCCGAGCCAGCCTTCTCTAGGAAAGAGAGGTTGGGGGACAGACTCATAATCTCATTCCTATTTTCGACCCTTGACTTGTCGCGCGGTCAATCAAATATTTCACTTACTCCGTGATCAAAATTTAATGTAATATAGGGGAAGGGATCATCTCCACAGGGATTGTGTGATTCACTCTTTCGTATTCTAATGCAGTAAATAAAGGGGGAATTTTCTTTTATTATCTAATGAAAATAAAATAACAAAGCAATTAAATTAAGGGGGAACTGACTATCAAGGGATGCCTGGCTCAAGGGATGATGCAGTTATGACACTTGTGTTTTATCATTAATTCAATAAAATTAATTCTTATTAAAGTATCAATAAATTGGTTATAGTTATCAACAAGCTCAGACAACCAATTTTTCCTTACAGTGTAGGTAATTAAGGTACGACCGTTAACTACTCCTAATTAAGCAAATAAACCTAGGTGCGCCCATAAGAATATTGCCTAACCGCATTCCAATCTAGAAAAATTCAATTCAAAACAATTACTACCTAAGATGAGCAATTAGATTTGATTGTCTAACCCCCGGGAAGGAACTATTCAACCCGGTTGTCACCTATTCAAGTGCGAATACAATTACGGATATTCTACCTGAATTGACTTTAGATTATCAGACTAATTTAAATATCGGTACCAAAATATTCAATCAATCTAACAATCACAAACGCTATTCTCAGAATTAGACAAATATTGATAATAAAAAAGAACTTTTATAAAGAAAATCAAGAATCTCCAAAACAAAAGAACCAAAACATTATCACCCCTCAAACCAGAAAAGTATCTACTCCATAATCAAATAACAAAGAATAAAAGAGAAAGATGAAGTCATACTGGGAGGGGGAAATCTTCTCTGTCGATTTGCTCCTGCGCGATCTATGAATCTGTCAGTCTCCTGCTCCTGTGCGTTTCTGCTCTAGCCGTTCTCTCTTGCCAAATAGACGTGTCTTTTTTCTTCTTATTTTATTTTTGCCCTAATTATTTTATAGATGGGCTTTTGGGCCTTTAATTAATTTTATTTCCTTTTTTCTGCCAATTATGCCAAATTTAATATTTGCCCTCTGCACACAGCAAATAAACAATTCGCATATAAATTAGGTAGAATCCAATCAAAATCACCCAAATATCGCATATGATATGAATATAAAACGCATGCGATTTCTAACTA